TGCCAGTGCTGTCCCACGCAGCTTTTGCATGGCCACCACTGGGACAGCAGCACCCTGGTGAGCTGTGCCACCGTCCTGGCCTGGCTCAGCCCAGCCATAGCCCCCATCCATGTACTCACACATCCACAATGATGACCATGTCCTTCGGGGACGAGGCACCTTGAATGTACCTGTGGAGCGCAGAGTGGGGTCAGTGAGGTCAACCCATTGCGGGAGGAACTGGCTCCGCTGGGTAAAGGTCAAGAGCAAAGCTCTGCCATGACATGAGTGGCCGGGGAGCTGTGCCGAGAGTGCCTGCACCCCCACGGCTGGGACGAGGCAGTGATGGGCGAGCAGAGGCGAGGATACAGCAGACTGCCAGGGACCCGCCACTCGGTACCGTGTCAGCCTAATGAATTCTAAATGTTAAACTCTTCCATCATCACAGGCCCTTTTCCACGTGCTGATTATGCTGACACACACAATCATATTAAGATGCTATTTACCCCCCTGGTAGCTTCAAAGGCCAGGCTGATTAGGTTATTTTTAGCTATGAGGAGAAAAAATAACAATACTACATAAATCCTCCCCTCTGAAAACAATTAGGGAACCCTTCCTGACCACTTGAAGCATCCAGCCCCACTCCTGGCCCAGCTGTGCTATCCTGCACGGTACAGTGCTAAGCACCCATCCCAGCAATAGCCAGGCACACCCCAGCCCCCTCATCCCACTGTGTGGGGCCTAATTCTGCCATGGCTGAAATCCAAGGGAGCCTCATTATTGGCTTGATCAGGATCAGGCCTGACACAAATTAATTAGTGTGTTGGTAGTATCAATTACTCTCCATTACTGGGGAGGACTGGGGAAGGGGCAGGCTCTGATTGCTAATTCCAAGTCCTGATGTTCCCTAATTACAAGTGATTACCCAGGCGGGATGTGGGAGAAGGGATGCTCGTATGTGGGCCCACCCTGGTGTGGATGCTGCACCCTCCCAGCACGCCCCACTCATGCTGGGGTGTGGGATGGAGATGGAGGGCTCACAGATCCCCTGGGCTGGGCTGCTGGCACGGTGTGGGGCCCAACCAAGATGCTGCCTGTAATGGGTTGTGGCAGCATGTCCATCTCCAGCTGCCCGACTCAGCTGAATACCCTGGGCTTGCTGGGAGAAGGCTGTGGCTAACAGTGCCGTTCATCGACGGGGGGAAGGCAGGTGAGTGGTGCTGGCAGCCCTGATGACGCTGTGGGCAGGACATGGGCCCCCAGTGAGGAGGGCTGTGTGCCACACTGGACCCTGGTGTGAGAAAACTCCAAAGGGGTGTCCCCAGGGGTGTGCTGCCCGCCAGCACCAAGGGTGCCGCTGCTCCTCCGTGGCTGGGTGGGCGAG